CATCACCACCAACAACACTATCATTGTAGCATCACCATCACCAACACCATCAACACCATCATCACCAATATCATTACATCATCACCACCATTATCACCATCATCACCACCGTTGTCACCATCACCACCACCATCAGCAGCACCACCAGATTCTTTACCACCATGGCTAACGCCATCTTGGCAACCTCATTACTGGGGAGCACCAACTGTGCACTTATGCTCTCTGGGTTGCCAAGACACCAAGTCACAGAGTGACTTACCTGAGCCAACCTGGCTGCAAACTGGTGTCCACCACATCCCTCCCCAAGGACTCTGCCTCCACACACCCGCTCCTAAGTCCTCCCGAGGCTGACTGGGCTTAGCCCACGAGTCCTCTCCACAAACGTGAGGGCAGGCGGGCTCCTGGAAGCCTAGTCCCCTGCTCCCGTGCAGCCGAGGAGCTTGGGAGCTGAGGGGACTGGGACATCGCAGATGTCCCGCCGCTGTCTACACTGATCAAGTTGATTGAATAATTGCCACTCCTTCATTTGGCGTCAACGCAGCCTTGAACCTGGCTCTTTTACAGAGGAGTTCACCAGACCCTCTGAGGGAGGTGACTCTGGCTGGTCAGTAGTGCTGCCTGCTCCCCCAGGTCAGGGGTCTCCTCCAGCTGGAGGAGAAAGGCTAAATGACTGTCCGAGGTCAGGGAGTGACCCATGGATGAGGCGACAAGAGGAGCCCTGCACCGACCACTGCCTGGGGCACTGACGACTAAATCACCCCAAGGAGCCGAGTGTGATTTCATTTCTAGTCCATCTACAGGAGGGGGAAATCAATGCTTGCTAAATGAAAAGGAAAAAGATTGGCAGGAGGAAAATATATTTCCAACTTTTAATAGTGCGTTATCGACAATGACCATCAGAGGTAAAGAGGGAGGGCCCACCTGGCTGAGTGGCTTGGCTTGACAGAGGGACACGATCTGGGGACTGAGGGCCAATGCAGTGGGAGGGCAACAGACTCCTCTGCCCAGTCGGGGTAGCGGGCACTGTGGGTGAGCCCAGCTGAATGCCACAGTGGGCCAAGGGGGAGCAGGGAGGTGGTGTAAGGGGTCATCTGTGGACAGAAAGGAGAGAGAAGAAGACCTGGTCTCCTGCAGGGGCGGGAAGCACCAGGAGGGAGGGCAGGGAAGGGAGGAGGGGATTCCTGGGGCAAGGGGCAGGCACCTCCCAGGACCTGGCTGGCCCCGAGGCCCACCCAAGGGGGTTGAGGGCCACGTTGGTTGGGAGGGTCGGTTTTCTTGCTCCCAGAGCTCTGGTGTGCATTCAGGAAAATGCAGCACAGGACTCCTCGGTGCCGGCCTAGTTCCTAAAGCCGGGAGGAAGCAGCGCCCAGCGCAGAGGCTGCCCGCCCCGTGGGGGCGATGGTTCAGCGAGCACAGCCTGGGAGGGGTGGAGGAGGGAGGGCGGGACACAGGTCTGTCTCAGGCTGGCCCAGCGGAGTAGGGGAACGTTTTCAGAGGAGGAAGCCACAGGAACGGAAGGCTCCACGGCCCTGCTGAGAGGAGGAGGAGAGCCCAGGGTCCAGGGCCCTGCATCAGCCTCGCCTGTGCCCCTGACCACACGGGAGCATATTTACAGCCAGCCTAGACCCTGGGGAGGCAGGACGTGCCCTCAAGCATCAGGATCAGGAGACTCCAGGCCCCAGGAGGCTGGCCTGCGGGGCAGGGCTCCTCGTGGACGCAGCGCAACCCACCCATCCGCACCTTCCCTTCCTTGTCAGTTCTCTCCAAATCGTTGCTCTTTGCACTGTTTCTGAGCCTCCTGACCACAAGCACAGGGCTATGTCTGAGCTGCACTGACCTTGGGACACCAGCCGACCTCTGTAGCCCTGGCTGGAGTCTTCCCTTTACCCCCAGCTCCTGGTCACTCTTTCCTCCCAGGATTAGCCACTAAACTATGCAACTCTCCTGGGGGCTTGCAGAGGTTGTCACTGTATCCCCAGCTGACACTGCCAGCTCAGGATCTGGGCCCATGCAAACACCCTGCCTTTGACAGTCCCTTGTGGACACAGAGATGGAGGGAACGGTAGCCCAAGAGGTGTCTGGCCAGGTCTGACCCAGGCCTCGTGAGGAGTTTGCCCAAGTTTACAAGGTGAACTTGAGGCAGGTGAGAGCCAGGTGCCACCAGCGTCTCTGGGGCCTTCCTCAGTCTCTCATGACATCTGTGCAAAGTAAAGGTATCTATTAGCCACAGCGCTGCGTGTGCCTGCATCAGGGGCCTATCCGCAGGACGTCCTGCCACAGGGGTACCTTCAGATCATGTGTCCTGTGTGTGATGCATTTCTATGCCATTTCTGCTTCAGTCCAAAAACGTGATTCATTTGAGAAAGTCCAGAAAACATAAGACGACAACGGACAAGAGGCCGAGAAAAATGTCAATAATCTCTCCCCAATGACCCTGTGATCTGCTCCTCGCCTTTCTTCTGCACCTAGAGGGACATGCGGGAGTTGGACACGGTGTGCGTCTGCGCCGTCAGCGTGGTCCTGTCCCTGTGCCCCTTCCTCCTGACGTCTCGGGTAATTTAATCTGGTGAGGTAAGTGTCGACGGACCTCCCTCACGTCACTCATTGAATGAGCCCTCTTCTCCGCCACACTTCCCATTGTCTGCAGCTCCAGAACATTCTTGATGAGGGTCCGTCAGGGTCCGGGGGCAGGCTAGTGGCAACCCGACCGTCCCTGGAATGGAGTGCCCCACAGCGTCCTTGTCCACCTCTTCACGGGACCTGTGGTCTCCCTATGGGGACTCTCTGGTCTGGAGGTCGGAGGGTGGTGGGTGGACCACGGGTCCCCTGCGCCCCCAGCCCCACTTCTGCTGCGTCCTTGCTCTTGGCAACTTGGTTACTGATGTCGACTTCTTGGGGCTTTGTGGGTGAATAGGTTGCCATATTCTTGCTGTCCACAATAGTGACCGGAACTAGGTGTGCCCCTGCAGGGACAGTTCATAAGAGGATGGAGGGAAATCCGACGACCGCCCCAGCCCACGTCCCCTAGAGACGAGCACCTGCAGAGCCTCCCAGCCCCACACCCACACACTGTTCAAAGGAGCACAGTAAAGGGCCCGGGGCTGCAGGGCACAGGGTGCCGCTTGGGGCTGGAAATGAGGGCCTCCCACACCCTGGGATTAAAGGGCGAGGGGAGGGCAGAGACAGGGAGGACCGAGGGAGGGGCACCTAGCAGGGGGCACGCCCTGGCCCCAGGGGAGCTCCAGAGGGTGCTGGGAATCAGCAGCCTGGTGGGCTGGACTCGCTGCTCTCTGACGTGGTGAGCAGGGGGCTGTCGGTTCAGCCTCGAGGACCCCAAGCAGGCAAGGGTAAGGGCCAAGGGACAGAGGAAGATGTGCAGCGGCAGTGTTTTTCTATTGATCTGAGGATGCTCTTTATTGTCATGGCGCTGCCCATCCCTCCAGCAACCGCGACAGGACCCCCTCTCATCTGCACTGTCCTGCGTGAGCCAAGGCCCGTGGGACCAGCACGGGCTGTGCCTGGGGACATTTCTGCCATCAGTACTCAGGTTTGTCAGGCTTCCTGCCTACTAAACAGATAGTGCTAGGCAGCTTTAAAAATGTCGCCTCTGGCAGAGAGATGCACCCGGGATTCAGCGCAGCACGGGCAATCACAGGGAATTACCGTCAATTTATTTGGAAGGACTAAAAACAGCAGCATCGAGGGCTGGAGAAGCCGCACTCGGGCTCCCGGGAGAGTCTGGTTGTCAAGGTAAACACCAGAGTCCCCGCTTGCAGGAGGCAGGCACAGCGGGCTTCCAGGGACCCCCCACTCCTGATGTTCCAGTCTCTCTGTGGTCCCCTCCCATGCTGGACAGGGCCAATCTGGGTGACCAACAGGACATTGTGGAAAGGAAGAATGTGACTCGGAGGTTGGGGTCCAAGGGACGAGGGTCTTCTGTCTTCCCCCGCAGGAAGCTGACCACTCGGGCAGCCCGAGGAGAGATCAGAGGCCTCCTGCCCACCGCCAGCTCCCGCTGGCCAGCCACCCAGCCCTTCTGAGCCGAGCCAGCCCAGCAGACAGCCTGGTGGCTACCTCCCGAGGAACCAGGACAGACCCTCCTGGGCACACTGCCCCTGGCTTCCCGACTCACAGAAACTGGGAGTGCGTGGGGTTAGCACTGCTGTAAGCCACTGCGCAGCCAGGGAACGGCTAGCTGCCAACCTAGGCTGCAGTGCCAGATCCAGGCAAAGCCCATCCGCACGGGCTGCCCAGCCACGCAATGCCACGGTCTTTGAGATCAGAGCTCAGGGCGGAGGCTCTGGAACTTAAACCTCTCTGCAGAGCCACTGTCACCTTTTGGCCTCCGTCTTCCTTCTATAAAAGGAAGGAGCTAAGAAGGACACTTCCAGCTTGACCTCCTGAAGTCCACAGAGGCCATGTGAGACCCCCTCCCCTACTACACCTGCCTCCATGACAGGGGCCAAGTCGGCCTGCACAAGCTCCCAACTCTAAAAGCACCAGAGCAGAGTGTCCCTCTAGCGACCCACAGCTCTCTGGTGTTCATTTCCAGAGAAGAAACTGTTATCATGGACACCGGCCCCAGTGATGATTACACACAATGAACGTCCCATGATCTGCCATCTGCAACCTGGAGATAGAGGACAGCTGCTGGTTCAGCTCCTGTTCAAGACAGAAGGCTCAAACCCAAGAGATGCTATGTCCAGGGAAGGAGATGGACATCTGGAGAAGAGAGAGAACAAACTCACCTCTCATCTTAGCCTGTTTTCTGTTGCCATTACTAAACACCCGAGGCCAGTACTTTATAAAGAAAAGAGGTTGTTTAGCTCCCAGATCAAGAGTATGATGTGGGGCTG